CCCATAGAGGCTTCGCCGAGCTTCCATGAACGATCGCTCTCGACTCGTTTTGTTTGCCCGCTTGTTCCAACATGTCGATCCTGGCCGGGCTCTGTAGTGTCTTATGTTTTAGTAGAATTTCTAGTCGACAAGACCCAGCCTGTTGTAAGTTACGACGATGTAAGGGACTTTAGCAGTGTAGTTGAAGACGACAAGGTGTGCCAGGTTTACTGGGCCGGAGACGCGCGAACAAAAGGATCGTTCTACGACGCGAAGGTACTCTACATGGCAGGTGAGTAGAAGTGAAGTACGGCGATTGATGTACGAGTGCTTTGCATAACATGCTGAAGGCTTAATTGCATATGCAGCCGAAGCATTCTTTAAAGCGATGCGCTCATTGTCGGAATCTCGCGCTGCAATACAAAAATGCTCCTGACTCGGTCCGAGAGGTTTGGGCTAGAAAGTTTATACCTTTCTATCAGGCATGGGCTATTGGCCTTACCGCTGTGTTGGGGCTGCTCGCGTTCGTCCGTGGAAGCCAGGGCTGTCTGTCGTAGCATGCATGCTTGTTCTCTAGCTTCAATGGAGTCGCATAGGTTTTGCGAATTGAAGTGTATACGGTCGTCCCGAAAGGTTCAGACATCGAGGGCGTTTCTTTGAAACATGCTTACGGTGCATGTGGTTCCGTTTGTAAACGGATGTCCCCTTTGCTCAAAAAAACGAAAATTTCAAAAAGGGGAAAAAAAGAACAACAAAGGGCGGGTACACACTTTACCTGATTTTTGATGTCATGAATTACATTCATTTTGAGAATTTATGAACCGTTTCACAGCCATGCAAAATGGCCGCCTCGGCTTGTGAACCGTTTCATAGCCATCCAAGATTGCCACCTCGGAATTTGAGCTTGATATAAAGAGTAAAGCTATACGCACTCCGGAGTGCACTTCGGACCGAAATAGCTATACGCGCTCCGCTAAACTCGTATAACACGAATGGTCAAATCGAGGTTCCTAAGCGATGGCATAGCATAGGGGTTAAGATGTCCGTTTTGTGCACAAGTGGACGCGAGTTCGATCCGCGGTGGACCTGTTTTGTTTTTTTTTTCTTTTTTTTTTCTCGAACATTTTGCTTTGTCGAGGCATTTGGCGATATTTATGAGTGCGTATAGCTTTACTCTTATGTAAATGCCGCCCTTGTTGATGAAATTTCCTTGGCAGTGGCAGTCAGACGTCATCTGATGGACCATCAGGGCACGTTCCAGCAAGGCTGCTGACTGGCAGTCAGTGTCCCAAATTACGTATCTTGATGGAATTTTCAATAGGGAGGGACGGGCTCATTGGTCAGCGGGTGCAACACCAGTGCCCCCAGCTAGAACGAGAGGCCGAAGAATATTTTGTGACAACCTCCATGATTTGAGATTTACAGAGCACAACGCAGAAAAAAATAGAGGTCATATTGCAACTTATGCGGCACCATTTGCTGCTCAACACTTAACTGCGAGAACCAAATCCGAAACAAGTGATGTCAAACCTGTGCTGTTTCTTGGTGTGTATCGAAAATGCTGCAGTAGCTCGATGTGACCATCGACAACTGTCATTATGAGGACACACAATTTTTCATATAAATATCGTATACTACTACCTAAATTAAATTTGTGCCGGCTGAATCGTGCGGGTGAATTGCGCTGGGTACCCTCACAAATAAATGACAATAGTTGCACACTAACACGGAAACCCAAAAAGACAGAGATCAACAACTGGACTTCAGCACGTCTCATGCTCACATAATGGCCTTTCTTACGGGGTTACAACTAAGAAATGCGAGCTGGTAGTCAAACCAGAACAAAAATAATTTTCTTAAAAAAATTAACACGCAACGAGATGAGGTGCTAGATCTAATGGATATATTCTAAACTCCCACTTAGCGTAACTTCAACGTGCACTAGTATCAGTTTCGTGCACCGTGTTTTATTGATACGCCCAGGTTGCCTCAATAATCTCCTCAAGAAAGGGGCCAGAGCCCAAGGTAGGGTGGTGTGGAGCAACCAAAATGTTCGCCGCTGAATTTTCGCTTGGATATTTCACAATGCGGAAACGTAAGTTGTCGGTATCAGCACAAGAAGCACGAAAGATAGCGACAATTTACTCTCACTGCACACCTATGGCCTCGACAGTAACGTGCGTAAATAGCTCCTGTGGATGCTGTAGGTGGCAACAGCAAAGTTCCTTGCAGAGCTATTTAGTAGACACGTCCTGTCATATGATTTTGCGAACGCATTGCGTTATTCTGCCCGATTGTTGAAATTGATTACACATATGTTGCGTGGATGCCCCGCTTCTTCTCGGAGTCTGTTTTCTTCCACTTGGATTTACCATTGCCCCAAGACTTGTTGGCGGACATGCGGCTGGCGGTTATACTTCGTGCAGTCTTTTCTATGCGTCAATTTTAGTTTCTTTCGGAAAGTTGTGAGCAGTAGTACGAAGAAGCTCCCCTCCTTCGTGTAAACCAATCGCCCCTTATTGTCACCTTCGTTGAACGACATCGTTGTGGGGCAAGACACTCCAGTATGACTCTGAAGAAAGATGAAGGGTGAAAAAGATGTTCGTTTTAGGCAGTGACAGCGATGCAGATAGGCGGTGAGACCAGTTCAGACGGCGAAGAACGGACGAGACGGCGAGACGCAGGGACGACCGCCCGGCACAAAGAAGCCGAGAAGCGGCCGCCACCGTTGCCAGGCTAGAGAACGCTTGTGGCTGTTTGTCCGAAAACAGGCCACAACACAGAAAACATGCGCGCTGCGAAGCAGAAATCCTGCAGCCTCTGAAATCAATGTTAGTGAAATGCGTTCCCTAAATAAAATAAACTAATGTGTTCATAATTCACACCACAATAATGTTTTTAACTTAACTTTTCACTACAACCTCGTAACCAGAAGCCTGCCACGCCTTCTCGAGTTCTCTGGAGTGGAGGAAGGAGGAGCTCCTCGTCCGAGGAACCGCCGAGGCGCGTCGTTGAAGCCCGATGGCTTCTCAAGTGGAAGCCAGCTTCTTTCCTCCACTCCACTGGGTCGAGGTGGAGTGCCTAGTCGAGCCCGTTAATGAATACGGCCTTAAGAAGCTATTCGTGCATCTTGCCTCAGTAGTTTGGAACCCTACTAAACGAAAATATTGCGTTTCAAGCTTCGAACACGCTAAAATAATGGATTAGAAAGAAACGGAAAAAAATATGCTAGACAGAGTAAGATTATTCATTTGTATAATGTTCATCGAAACAAAACAAAAACACCTAATACTCCATCCCAGCATAAGCATAAAGCCTGCCTGCTCTACACACGCGGCTCGAGTTGAAACCCGACACAGTGTTTCCGCGCTCCCCGGAGCGGGGATTATCGGAGGCCCGCTAGGCGCCCGGTCCGCGTTTTCACCGCGCCGCGGAAGGCGCGCGAACGAGTGGACCTTGTTTTTCGAAGCGCACACATTTGTTTCCAAAAATTTCCTCCCTCCCGGCATCACCTTTCCGTGACGGATTAAGAGCACCGCCTATTTGGGAAGCACCCATTTATCTCGGATATTATCTCGCCTCGCTCGCGTGTCTACGTCTATCCGCCAACACCCCCCCCCCCCCTCCCTCACCCTCGGCCCCGCAACGGCCTACTTGCTTTCCACGATCGCTTTGGTAGCTAAAAAGCGCGCGAGATGCGAGCGCCACGCGTGCCCATGCTGGCAATGGCTACACATCCCGCGCCTTCGTCGGGCGCCGCGCGCGATAGAAAGGTGAGCCTGAACGCATGCGCGCAATCGTCCTCCCTCCCTCCTCTACCTCCATGTCCGGCTCCCCAAGCGCGCCGGTGTTTTGTGCGCACGCGCGGATCGCTCAGAGCCGGAAAGGGTAGCGATGGGGAAAAGAGGCGCTTCTCCTCCCGAGCCTCCCTTTTTATTTCGGGAGGGATCCTCCCCTCTCCCTTTCCCCGCGGAGAGGAGAAGCGCGAGTGAGTAGAGCCGACGGCGTGAGAAGGAGAGCGAGGAGGTCGAAGGGGTCTCGGGGCGACTCCGTGGCGCGCTCCACTTGGGCTGGGCGCAGCCGCCGCCAGAGGCGTTTTTGCACGGGCCCACGTTTTTTTTCCGGTGCGCGCTGCGCGAAGTTGCTTCGTCGTTTTCTCTGGATTGCTGCGGCCTCGAGCTGAGGGTGTGACCTTTGTGGTGGAGTGTCTGTGAGTGCGCGGAGGGTGTCGCTGCGTCGGCCGGCCGTCGTGGTGGACTGGCCGCCCGGCGTAGTCATCGTCTCCCGGTGATGGGGAGGCGTGGCGGGCAAGTGGCTTACCCGGGATGAGAGGCGCCGAAAGGATTCACGCCGCCCTCGAGTGGACTACAACGTCACCGGCCCGAGCGGATTTCTTTGGCTGAAAGTTGTGTGTTCCGCGCGCCTCTTTTCGACCCCTGCCGGAGTTTTGAGTTGGGTCCAAGGAAGACAGGGGTTGCGTCCCGCTTACATCTGCTCAATTATTTTACCCCATTGTTAGCGCAGATTCTTAGGAACATCCTCGATTCTTTTTATAGATTATAGAAGGGCTACAACTGAACATTCAGAATGTGCGGTGAAACAGGCCGCTAACGTTGGCGAAAAGTCTTCATCTTAATCTTTTGTATAGCGCCGGGATGTACCTCGGATGCTACATGTAGACTGCGGACGAAGTAGGAGAAAGTCACGAGGGAAATTTTAAGTATACCCAGAATTACACACTGTCACATTTACGAACTGCCTCGTATACCATCATATATCCCCACCCGCTTCTACGTCACCGAGTTGCTCCTTCGGAGGGTTGCAATGCAAGCGGTCATAGTTTACATACGAATGCGAGTAAACCTATGGATACGCGAGCGAACCCCAAGCCGCACCCGACGCTCGTACCGAAGCACCTCTCCTTATCCCAAAGACTGAGCCCTTAGCCCCACGCGCTCTCCATCCCGATCTCGTGGCGGTAAAAAGGCCCTGAAACCGATCATCTTTTACGAGCTGCCTCCATGGCTACCGACAAGTGGGCGCGACTGTCGGTCGCCTTCACCCTGCTCGCAATCTTGCTGAGCTGCACCGTGGGCACGTCGCAGGCGGCGACAGTCGCTAGGCCTAGTCCCCGGGTGGTGCGGACAAAGTACGGACAACTGCGGGGTAAGATTGTGACGCCCAGTGCCCGCTACGGGGCCCACCTGCCCCCCGTCGAGGTGTTCATGGGAGTGCCGTACGTGAGTCCCCCGCTAGGGACCCTGCGATTCATGCCTCCGGTCAACTCGCCGCACTGGGACGACGTCCGCGTGGCCGACGTTCCGGGGCCGGCGTGTCCGCAGCGGCTGCCGGACTTCCTGAAGAACGACAGCGCGACGGCGGCCGCGGCCGCCAAGATGCCCTCAGGGAGGCTTGACCAACTTAGGAGACTGGCTCAGGCATCGCTGGGCAACACGAGCGAGGACTGCCTGCACCTCAACATCTACACACCGGCGTCAGGTCAGTCAGTGCGCACGCTCGAAGTAGGGCCCCGGTGAACAGATTATCTGATTCAATTCAAGGGAATGACCCGTGATGGAGCGCTCACTTGTCAGTCGTGCAGATATATGATATAGGGGGAATTCGCTGGCGGCCATGGCTGTGTCGCGACTGCAGAGGCCGTGCTGACGGCGACTTTCTACAGCTCCTTTTTAACGTGCATTCCACATCATCAAGATTACGGATCATAGCAGACTATTAATATATGAGCTCGTTCTTAGCATGCACAAATATGACGTCCAGTGAATACCCCCTGTACTGGCATTCACCTTAAGCGCAAGCGAGACGAGAAGCTACTGGCAACAATGACACTAGCTTCTATAGAAAAACATAATATTCCGTTGGATTATTCGCAATTCGGTAAATTGGCGACTGCTAAATAACAGAAACACGAAAAACGCCATCACCTGGCTTTCTCAGTGGAGCTTCATCGGCCACATTGGTTCGTAAAGTTAATAGCGATCGGACTTAAGCTGAAAACATGTATACATCCTCCCAATACACTAGGCCAACTTTAAATTGGGTTGTTCTTTTCAAGGTGTTGATATCGCAACAACACCACTACGGTTTTCCCCAGTTAACACGCCTAAATCGCTAAAATAGGAATGGCTGCGTCTAGTCATTACCATAATTCAAATTGTACTTTTTTCCAGCTATTTAAACACGAATGGGATTTCTATGCTACATTTATGCTCATGTAACACATTCTATATTTCTTAAAGGACCTTGGAGATGCTACCTAATATTACTGAATTCATTTAAACGCGAATGCAATTAATGTCGAACAGGAACGAAGTTAACGCCCGTGTTGAGTTAACATCACCTCCACACGAGGTTCACGAGAAAATTTCCCTTCCCGAAGGACTGCTGCCGCTTTCAACGCCTCCAAACTGCTCGAGTGCGGCTTCCATTTTGAGCCGCACCTGATACTAGCATTTCATGTTGCAGCGCAACGAGACCAGTCAACAACTCGTCAGCAACTCCGAAATAGCGCTGGAAATTGCCACGTCTGAAAGGGACCTTACGAAACAACGCGAAGCTTGAGTGAAGTGGGAAAACCCGCCCTTAGACTTGGTGTGAGGTCTCGTTTCGGTTACGCAATGAGCAATTACCTCGGGTGGTACTTAAGTAGCCTCCTTTTGTAACGAGATGGGTTTGCACAACCATTGTTATAATTTTCGTGAAATGAACAAATAGTCCGTATAACAAGGCTTGTATCACCTCGTTTTGGTCTCACAATCGTTATGATTTTCAAAGAATGCATTAGTTATTTTTAGTACATCGTTCCGATACTTTCGATATTCCCGATAACGACATCCGATTGATGTACGTTACATACGCAAATGCAGCGTAAGTGTATAGGGTATCGTTGTTGGAGTAATCGGAATGATCTAAAATTTTATGAATAGCGTTTTCTTTTTCGTCACGTTTATGGCAAAACTAATATGGAATCGTTTAAAGAACCAAGCATGTAGAGGTCACGTTATCATCCTTTAACTTCACTGATCTTTCACGCAAAGATAAGTGGTGTTCATCGATGTCGCGTAGTGAGCGATTTCTACAGGACGTAAGTGGAGAGAAACGATGATTGGACGCTGGTTGGCTCTTTTAGGTTTTTGTAGGGTCCAGGAGAGATATTGATTGATATTCTACTACTGGACGACTTCAAGACACAAGGTGATAAGAAACGACGGAAACAATATTACCGTGTGGCCGGTCATTGTCATTGAATGTTGAATATTTCTGGGACTGCGGTGGCAGCTCGAATATTTACAGAAAATTCAGTTTGATTCGACGAAATTGAAAAAGAGCACGTACGTTCTAAGAGTTACACGAAAAGTGGTCTTACTATGAGTTTATCGTGTTTGGCGCGGATTAGATGAAAGAAAAATTGTCGTGGCATATTAGATAATTAGCTAAAGTTTGCGAATTATCTTAATTATTGGTTTTAGGGATCATATTTTAATTTCAATGTCAACGGGACCTTCTGTTAAATGCCAGGAAAAGGAAAAAAACCTTTTTACGTTACATCTGAATTTAAAACTGCGCGCAAAAAGGGCATGGCAAGCACCGCAAAACAATGGCCCTTCGAAAAGTGACGTAGCCGTATAGATGAATTCGTCCCTATCCTACCAGCGCGTCCTTGGTAGGTGTGACGACGTATCTGGAAGGACTACATCACCCTTCTAAGCGTCATTGTGGGCAGATATTGCTGCGCCCTCTTTGCGAGCATTTTTTTCAATCGGGTTAAAAACGCGAAGATTCATCGATTAATACCTTAAAAGTTAAATTTTCGCGAGTGATATTAATATGTCTGGCCTCTGGTTTTAATTACCGTAAATACTGCAATTGGAACATGAACCCATAAGCCAAAAAGTTAGTGTCTAGATGTTTAATTTTTTTAGGCAACTTTCCACGCCAGTTATTTTATTATCTAATGTTCGCCGAGCATGATAAATACATGGTAAAGACGGCACTCGTCTAACTCCCCCCCCCCCCCTCTCCCCCTTTTAACATATATGTTCCAACTAAAATAAAACTTGCTGTATATTACGAAACGCATAGGCAGCATTATCACACAGAAAACACTAGATCTCTGTAGGGAGCTTTTATTGCGAAAGACATTTTCATTATGCTGATGATTTCTGCATAAATTTGGCGTTTCGATTTGCACCACTTTGCGTAACCCTCTTAACGCACTTTAGCTCACCACCACTCGGTGTCAGAATAAAAAGAACAAAAGCAAAATGAAGGCAGCAGGAAAAGAGTGTATTAAGAAACTCTCCAATAAATCAATATATATATATTTTTTTTTTGGTCTGAGGAATTCTTATATACATAGCAGGATCGGCTGCACAGTCTTCTACTTCGTAAGCACTGAATAATTCAATAAAACTTAAAGGAAGTACCAAGAAAGTAAATGTGCAAATGTTTTAGGATCTATGGGATCGAACAAAATTAATGGTATCGACTATCGAAAGCCTAATTAGGACGAAAACTTCACTCGTGCTCTTGTACCTATGAAATACGTGTTTCGGAACGGAACACACAAACATTTACCTTGCAACAATCTTGTTATCAGACTGGTAAGGTTAATTATTACAAGTAATTAAATTATTAAAATACGACGACCAACCAATCCCTAAATCAGGGGCCCAACGTTTCGAAGCCGGTTCGGCTTCTTCTTCAGGGGCGACTATGGAGGAAAGGAGCCGCAATCTTCCTTTTCCTCTATGACGGAGGCGAATGTGCATGATCTCATCTTCTTCCTCTTTGATCGTTTTTTGAACACAACTGGTGGAGTCCGTTCACATACACAGATGGCAGTGCACCAAGAGACCTATTAATGTTTGTTGGCGTGGTCTGAATGTGCCAAGATTCAAGGAAGAGCCTCCGGCGAGGATTAGTTTCAATGTCCAGGATACGTGTGTTAAGAAAGTCAATGCGGTGGTCATTTTTTTCACAGTGTTCAGCAACCGCGCTGCGCTCTTGATTGAAGTTGCGCACATCAGCCTTGTGTTGACAAATCCGTTCATGCTAGTTCTTTGTTTCCCCGATGTACGAGGACGGGCACTCCGCGCAGGGAATCTCGTACACCACACCTTGCGCTTTCTCTTTAGGGTGCCGATCTTTTGGTCGTGGCATAAAGCGTTCAAGGGTTGAAATTGGCTTGTGGGCCATCTGAATGCCCTCCTTTGCTAGCACCCGTGCCAGCGCTTCACTTGTTCCCATGATGTATGGGACGCTGATGCGCGTGGTTGGCCGGCGTTTCGTATCAACCTGCGACTGGTGGTGTTGTCGGCTGCGGTTTTGACGACGGGCAATGCGGTGTATGAAGCTGCCCGTGTATCCGTTCTTCTTGAGGTCGCAAATGATGGTTTCTTCTTCTTGTTGTCGGTCAGAATCAGTTGAGCAAAGGTTCTTTGCCCTTGATAGGAGTGTGTTTACCACCGATACTTTATGGCTCGTTGGGTGGTTGGAGTCAAATTGTAAGTACCTTCCGGTGTGCGTTGGTTTGCGGTAAACTGAGAACTCGAGATGGTCTTACTGCCTTTGTACAAGCACATCGAGAAATGGTAAGGTGTTGTTTTTTTCCCCTTTCCACGGTGAATTGGATGTTAGGCTCGATGGAATTGAGGTGTGTCAAAAAGTTGTCTACTTGAGACTTCCTCATGACGCAGAAGCAGTCGTCCACATATCTTAGAAAAACCTTGGGGCTTTCAGCAAAGGACTGGAGAGCCTTTTGTTCTATGGCTTCCATGCACAGGTTTGCCGTGGCGACAGAGTTGGAGGCCCCCATTGCGGTTCCACTGGTCTGCTTAAAGTACTCTCCTTTGAAGCTGGAATAAGTATTACTCAGGCAGAATTCAAGGAGGCGGCAAAGTTCGTCCACGTTGAGCTTGGTCCTGTTGCTGAAATCGATGTCTTTCTCCAGGGCGTTTCTGGCAGTCATGAGTGCTAAGGAGACCGGAACGCTTGTGAACAGGGATATCACGTCAAAAGATACCAGAATCTCCTCGGCGCTTATCTTTAAGTGCGGAATCTGCTCCACGAAGTCGCTGGTTATATGTGATACGAAACGCCGGCCAACCACGCGCATCAGCGTCCCATACATCAAGGGAACAAGTGAAGCGCTGGCACGGGTGCTAGCAAAGGAGGGCATTCAGATGGCCCACAAGCCAATTTTAACCCTTGGACGCTTTATGCCACGACCAAAAGATCGGCCCCCTAAAGAGAAAGCGCAAGGTGTGGTCTACGAGATTCCCTGCGCGGAGTGCCCGTCCTCGTACATCGGGGAAACAAAGAACTATCATGAACAGATTTGTCAACACAAGGCTGATGTGCGCAACTTCAATCAAGAGCGCAGCGCGGTTGCTGAACACTGTGAAAAAAATGACCACCACATTGACTTTCTTAACACACGTATCCTGGACATTGAAACTAATCCTCGCCGGAGGCTCATCCTTGAATCTTGGCACATTCAGACCACGCCAACAAA